CAATGCATGTGGTAAACATCTCTGTAATAGAATACCTGTTACTTACATAATACTAGCACCTTCTGTGATACACAAGACTGTTCGTAACACTAACACAGCAATGCTTGTCACTACTATACCGTTTGTTAGCGACTTAACCTGTAATACTAACACAGCACTACCCTGTAACACTTAACACAGCATTACCCTGTAACACTAACACAGCAATGTTTGTGACTACCTGTGTTAGCGACATTACCTTCTGTAATACTAACACAGCACTGCCCTGTAACATTAACACAGCAATGTTTGTGACTACCTGTGTTAGCGACATTACCTTCTGTAATACTAACACAGCACTGCCTTGTAACATTAACACAGCAATGCTTGTGACTACCTGTGTTAGCGACATTACCTTCTGTTATACTAACACAGCACTGCCTTGTAACACTAACACAACAATGTTTGTGACTACCTGTGTTAGCGACAAACCTTTTGTAATACTAACGCAGCACTGCCCTGTAACACTAACACAGCAATGTTTGTGACTACCTGTGTTAGCGACATTACCTTCTGTAATACTAACACAGCACTGCCCTGTAACACTAACACAGCAATGTTTGTGACTACCTGTGTTAGCGACAAACCTTCTGTAATACTAACACAGCACTGCCCTGTAACACTAACACAGCAATGCTTGTGACTACCTGTGTTAGCGACATTACCTTCTGTAATACTAACACAGCACTGCCCTGTAACACTAACACAGCAGTGCTTGTGACTACCTGTGTTAGTGACATTACCTTCTGTAATACTAACACAGCACTGCCCTGTAACACTAACACAGCAATGCTTGTGACTACCTGTGTTAGCGACAAACCTTCTGTCATACTAACACAGCACTACCCTGTAACACTAACACAGCAATGTTTGTGACTACCTGTGTTAGCGACATTGCCTTCTGTAATACTAACACAACACTGCCCTATAACACTAACACAGCAATGTTTGTGACTACCTGTGTTAGCGACATTATCTTCTGTAATACTAACACAGCACTACCCTGTAACACTAACACAGCAATGTTTGTGACTACCTGTGTTAGCGACATTACCTTTTGTAATACTAACACAGCACTGCCCTGTAACACTAACACAGCAATGCTTGTGACTACCTGTGTTAGCGACATTACCTTCTGTAATACTAACACAGCACTGCCCTGTAACATTAACACAGCAATGTTTGTGACTACCTGTGTTAGCGACAAACCTTCTGTTATACTAACACAGCACTAACCTGTAATACTAACACAGCACTGCCCTGTAACACTAACACAGCAATGCTTGTGACTACCTGTGTTAGCGACAAACCTTCTGTAATACTAACACAGCACTGCCCTGTAACACTAACACAGCAATGCTTGTGACTACCTGTGTTAGCGACATTACCTTCTGTAATACTAACACAGCACTGCCCTGTAACACTAACACAGCAGTGCTTGTGACTACCTGTGTTAGTGACATTACCTTCTGTAATACTAACACAGCACTGCCCTGTAACACTAACACAGCAATGCTTGTGACTACCTGTGTTAGCGACAAACCTTCTGTCATACTAACACAGCACTACCCTGTAACACTAACACAGCAATGTTTGTGACTACCTGTGTTAGCGACATTGCCTTCTGTAATGCTAACACAACACTGCCCTATAACACTAACACAGCAATGTTTGTGACTACCTGTGTTAGCGACATTATCTTCTGTAATACTAACACAGCACTACCCTGTAACACTAACACAGCAATGTTTGTGACTACCTGTGTTAGCGACATTACCTTTTGTAATACTAACACAGCACTGCCCTGTAACACTAACACAGCAATGCTTGTGACTACCTGTGTTAGCGACATTACCTTCTGTAATACTAACACAGCACTGCCCTGTAACATTAACACAGCAATGTTTGTGACTACCTGTGTTAGCGACAAACCTTCTGTTATACTAACACAGCACTAACCTGTAATACTAACACAGCACTGCCCTGTAACACTAACACAGCAATGCTTGTGACTACCTGTGTTAGCGACATTACCTTCTGTTATACTAACACAGCACTAACCTGTAATACTAACACAGCACTGCCCTGTAACATTAACACAGCAATGTTTGTGACTACCTGTGTTAGCGACAAACCTTCTGTTATACTAACACAGCACTAACCTGTAATACTAACACAGCACTACCCTGTAACACTAACACAGCAATGCTTGTGACTACCTGTGTTAGCGACAAACCTTCTGTTATACTAACAGCACTAACCTGTAATACTAACACAGCACTGCCCTGTAACACTAACACAGCAATGTTTGTGACTACCTGTGTTAGCGACATTACCTTCTGTAATACTAACACAGCACTGCCCTGTAACACTAACACAGCAATGCTTGTGACTACCTGTGTTAGCGACATTACCTTCTGTAATACTAACACAGCACTACCCTGTAACACTAACACAGCAATGTTTGTGACTACCTGTGTTATCGACAAACCTTCTGTAATACTAACACAGCAATGCCCTGTAACACTAACACAGCAATGTTTGTGACTACCTGTGTTAGCGACAAACCTTCTGTTATACTAACACAGCACTAACCTGTAATACTAACACAGCACTGCCCTGTAACACTAACACAGCAATGCTTGTGACTACCTGTGTTAGCGACAAACCTTCTGTTATACTAACACGGCAATGCTTGTAACATGGCTCACAATAACACACTGCCTACACAGTTACACAATTACTGTGTTACTAATACAGTTCACGAACAACAGTACATGTATATTACACTGCCGGAATACCTATGCTACTGATGTAACGCCAACACAGCTGCCTATATCATCACTGCGAATGACCGAGCAGTGTGTTCAAGTACGGGGGGGGGGTAGGGGATAGTCGTCATACTCCATGGTCTGACGGTAGTCTCCTTGGTAAGAATATACTGTACCATTAACACAAAGCCTCTAACATTGACAGCACTCCCACACTGTAACACTAACATATATATGTAATCCTAATGCAACGATACAGTACCTGTAACCCTAACACAACACACGACCTATAACATTCATTAACAAGGCTGTCTTCATGCCTAGTTCACAATTAACCGTACAATCTTTGCCTCCTAACTTAACGCCCTCCAGAACAGCACTGCCTATAAAATAACACTTCACAAACCCTAACGCAAACCACACATACGACCTCATTACCGAACCCCATCCCTGCAAACCCTATCTCAACTCAACCGTGACAACCCAATGTTCTACTTAAGCCAAACAACCCTAACGTCTCTAACTTTACCATAATAATTTCACTATGACCTTGACTACAGGAGATCGTCATACACATTATTGCATGACGTTACGTTTTTTAGGTGTTGTACGTTTTTTGTAGTGTTTCAAATCTGTGTACTGTGTGAAATTGACAAGAATGAACATACAAATAGGCGAAAATAAATATCCTGCTCTGAAAAGTTACCGAATTTCCTGTACCGTACTTTCCACTCCAATCTCGAAAGACTGCATCATGGTGTGATGTATATACACTTGCAGTATTTTCATTGTTTAAGGTTGTTTATAATATTAAACACTGAAATCAAGCATAGCTACTTTTTTTTGTCACGCACACAGTGCCAATAGCCGGGACTGGTTACAGCATTTTTGGAGCGGCTTTGCCGGTTTCGCCAGATCGGTCCGGGATCGCCGGATCAGCCTGGGATTGCCGGATAAAGTTGGAAGCAGCCGGATAATCGATTATCGACTGTATGCACACGCTTATACATGTGGGCCAACCCGAATGACGCCAACGCTTCATTTTTAGCATCAGTCCTCACATTCGCCAAACCCATACCCTTAATCCTAACGACCATAATTCAGTCACGTGGAAGCGATTTGTAAGTTGCAAGAAGGGGGTGTTAACGCGGGGCCAGGAGGTACACCACACCGCACGAGAATATTTATACCGGAGGAATCAGATGAGCTTTAAAGCTCCTTTTTCCGCAGGTGTCCACAGTCGTTTTCACGCATGGTTTTCTGCACATCAATTCAAAAACGATGTGGAGAGAAACAGCACTCTTTTTACATTCCCTCACACTCTGGTATAGTTAATGATGCTCGCTAAGAGCCTGTGGGTTATATAATAATGTCGTAGCTTAGTGTTCAAACCCCAGTCTTAATAGCTCGTTGTGTTCCTTATTACAAGCCATGAATTGAAACTGCTGTTCTTCATCCTGCTACTCTACCCCTGTTCAGTGTTACTGCCGCAGTTGTAGAATACTTAGTAATGTTTTTGTGCACCGTATACACTGGCACCATCTTTATATATTTTCATCCTGAAGAAGCAGTGTTTGTGCGTTGAAGTTTCTGTTGGTAATTATAAGGGAAGTTTTAATGAAAGCAAAATTAGTTTACAGCGTTGGATTATAACCCCAGTGGATGGTTATTTGCAAGGCATATCTTTTACCTTGTTTGTATCACATCTGTAAATCCATACGGTTTACTCGTATTCTTGTACAGGGAAATAGAGTTTTCAGGTCTATACGGCTTACAGCCGTTTCAATACAGGTAAAAAATTATAATTTTTGTCGATTTGTTTGTGTTTCTCCCATGTGATGCGACTTCGTAGAATGAATGTTGAGATTTTATAAGCGCACGGGGTGACCAATAAGCTCTGATTTGGTCCGTAATGAGGTCGACACTGATAAAGGGTTGACAGGAATGTTGTTGTATACCTTTAGAGCGCGTTGTTTAATCTTTCTTGTATGCTCTTGCAGATGGATCGAAGCCTGGATTGCCAACGAAGACCAAATTGAAATCTGACCAAAGGACATATCGGTGTAGTACCTTGCGTGCCCCAACAGAATTTAACCCACGGCCTGTCATCAAAACGTTGTAACTAATTAAAGAGTAGCCGTCTCCCTTTCCGCGGATTCTGTTTTCGGGGGGGGGGGGGGGGTGGGGGGGAGCGCGCGGGGAGCGGCCTTCAAAAACGATACAACGATGGATCTGGAACAAGCTTTGGAGCGCGTCCTCCAAAAGGACATGAGCAAGCGCCTGCAGTTTGGGCCCGATCTCGTGGATTACTTCGGCGACTCGGAGCGCTCTTCCGACCTGGAGGCTGACCCCGGCACGCTGGACAAGATCGTCGACGGCCTGCTGGCGTGGGTCTCCACCAGCCACTACAAGGTGAGCACTCGGCGGCGGCGGCGTTCGCTGAGCGAGGGCTGGCGCCGTGTCGTACGGCTGACGTAGACGCAGAGCAACAACTGCGATTTCACATCGTAGTGGTGGTGGTGAAGCCGGAAAGCCGCGTCGGGAGCAGCGGAAGCAGTGTATCGTCGTGATGTCTCCATCTTCGTGTTTGGGGATCTCGGGTCGTTGCATCGTCATACGTTGTTAACGGTCTGTTCTGGATGACCACAGTTGCACATTGCTACTGGAGAGTTTTTAATATTCCATTTTGTGCATCTGGTTGTCCGCATCTACCACCATGGTTTGCGTAGTGGATGCGATTTAGGGTGGGACCATGAGCTTCGTGGAAGATCAAACCCAGGGATCTTCTGCGTTGGGTCTTTTACAAGGTGTTTGAGAGTTCTTTTGAACTCCATTCAGCAGTGGAAGGTGGCAGCCTTCGTGCGGCCCACTCTGTTAAGTGAGAAATCGCGACGAATGCCATCAACGCGGTGACCGAACATCCATTATCGATCTCCCGGTTTCCAGAGCAACAACACAAGCCACTTATCTTCCACGAAGAATGTGCAAAAATAAGCTATTTTAAATTATGCAGTGATTATCCGGTGTTTCTAAAAACCTGGCAAAACCCCCTCCCCACCCCCCCCCCCCTAAGCCGGCGGATAATCGATGATCAACTGTATAACCAAATGAGAGTTCATTCACATGAACAGCCTCTAGACGTTGGTCAAATAGAAAAATAAATGAATACAAAAAACAAATTAAGTGGAAGTAAATTACTTGGAATTAAGAGGTAACTAACAACAGCAATCTACTCGTGAGACTAAGCAAATGTTACTTTCCTCGTTATCACCAGCCATGGTCAGTCCACTGCTGGATGACGCCCTCCCGAAGGTGTCGCCATTTCTCACTTTCCACCCTCTGAATAATCCACCCAGCAGCTGCACACGAGCCAATTTCATCGCTCCGTCTCCTTGGTGGACGTGCAGCACTGTCGGACCGAGGTGCATTCCTTGGCTGCCACTCCCATAGAAATTCTTGACTCTCCTTCGTAGCGACGACGTACGTGTCCTGGCCAAGCCCCTTTTTTTGTTAGCGGTGTAAATGATGTCATAACCTGTCAATATTTTCTCTAATCCCTGTGACTCTCTTCCTGTCTCTCCGGCGTGATTGTATGCAAGTATGTGTGTTGAACTTCTTTCGCACAGTACGTAGCCAACTGTGCTTATCAGAGGTGCGGGCAGAAGGACAATAAACTAAACACAAAAAGCAGTTATAAAGAAATTAGCGTTCAATCTAGATTTAAAAGTGTAAGTGCGTATTTAACTTATTTCGCACCATACATAGCCAACCGTGCTAATCAGAGGTACGGGGGGGGGGAGGACAACAGATTAAACACAAAAAGCACTTCTAAAGAAATTAGTTTTCAATCTAGATTTAAAAGTGAATAGCTCCAGTGGCTTCTTAATATTTCAAGCACGATGTATACATTTTATTGTTAAGTTTTTGTTGTTGTAAATTACTGTTTTCTGAACTATTTAAGTACGCAGGTAAATGAAATTGCGCATAGAGTAAAAAAACACAATAAAATGTTTCATGCCAAAGCAAAACAAATCTTTGCTTATACATTCCATTAAACAATGAGGTTTATGGGGCATTGTAAAGCTTTAAAAAGAACTTGAGTAATGGCTTTCCTCTGGGAGTGTTTTTTGGTCTGGTAGGAAATGGGCATTTGTATCACAAGGTGGAAAGTAATACCATTTAAAACTACTGGTTTGATTTGCAAAGCATCAAACGCATCTCAAAGTTCTTTATCATCATAATAATTGGGTAATTTAAAAGCCTCACGGATTCGCAGGAGTTGTTTTGGAAGGCTCCAGTAATTGGAATGTTTTGCCAATTTAATGTTTTTTCTTGTTGGAGGAAACCTAAATAAAAGGCCAAGGCGCAGCCCTGTCAATTGCTCGCTGACGCCACGGCTGGCGGAAGGGTCTCCTCGAGAGTGAACTCCAAAGGGGTATTTGGTCTTCTCTTCCATGGTGATCAGACGTGTTGGAAGAGGTGGGCTTACGTACACTTAGTGTTTGAACCTTTTTTGTTCCCATTGGAATGCCATTTCTTCATGATTACGTTCCTAAGTTGCGTAAGGAAAGATGAAATATGAAAGCCTGTTGTGTTCTCTCCTTGCTGAGCGGCGGTTACACAAAAACACATTTATACCTCGTGGATTGCGGGGTCATTAGAGGATTGGATTTGAGCTCTCGTGCCAGAGCACCCCGATAGTCCTCTCTTGTGAATAACCGGTGGTTCTCTAGCAGGTCCGATATTAAAACTCTAAAACGAAACTATTTTTTTTATTTTACCAGGTAAGGAATGCCTCACTGAGCTGCTATATAGCTATTTTTCAGAAGCGACCTGGCTGTCACAAATGATAGCTCAACGAAGTGGCTTATCGTCATCACCACGTGGAAATGTATAGCAGCCAAAAACTCTAAACGTGTGAAAAACCGGAGAACGTGGAGAAAAACCCACGCGGCCATGGAGAGATAGAGAGAGACAGGATCGAACCCATGACCTCCTGTATACCAGGCGAGGTAGTTAACATCTCGTCACTGTGGCGCCCTTAAATATCGTCCGATGTTCATGTGCCACCGAGCGTTATTGGCAGTTGCTTGCCTCGCATATCTTCAGATAAGTCCCGCGGGCCTCGTGTGGCAACACAGCTCAAGCATTTGTGGAATTCGCCAAAGATCGAAGATCGGATGTTAGAAACAAGATGTTAATTGATCTCACTTGCTGATGCCACTGCTGGCTGGAGAGCCTCCATTTGAGATCGCCCCTCTGGAGAGGGTATTTAGTTTCACCTGCTCTTCCACGCTGTTCAGACGTTTTCGATAAATTATTTGAGCGATACTGCTGCTTTGCCTTTTCCCTCGCCTCACCGTTATGACCTGCCGATAGTGGCCATCTGTGAAAATAAGAGCTTCATGGCTCATCGGATTCCTCCAGTCTAAACATAGATTGTGTTTCTGAAATGTGGTGAGCGTAGTACCGTATTATCATGATGCTACGGAAAGTAAGACGAAACCCCCAAACGTGTATCTGGTCTCAAATCTCATCGCACGCACAGTTACCGGCTTATAAAACGCACTTCCAACGTTTATTTTAAAATACAGGGAGAGAAAAAAAAACTTGTTATAATCTGAAGAATACGGTGCGAGTATTTTATAAATGCATGAATGCCTGAGTGGATTTTCCAGACAGTGAGCCCTTCTTTCTGACGAGCGTTCAGAGTCCGTTTATTTTCTACTGGAAGTTGTGCGTTGCATCAGACTTGGGGGGGTAGGGGGGCGGGTTGCTGTTGTGCGATCAGCATCATCAGCAACATCATCAGCAACATCACCAGCATCATCAGCAGCATCGGCATCATCATCACCATCAGCAGCATCACCAACTTCATCACTGAGATTTAGTTACACATATGCCATTGTAAAATTAAAACTAAACTTTGTTACCTGGTAAGGCCCACTGAGTTATGTGGTTTTTTTTTGGAGAAGCGACCTGGCTATCACAAATGATAGTTCAACGAAGTGGCCCATCAGCGTGTGGAAATTTACAGCAGCCCTATACTCTATATGCATGTTTTGAAATGTGGAGGGAAAAACCGGAGGACTCGGGAGAAAAATCCACGCGACCACGGGGAGAACACGCAACTCCAAGTATATAGTAGGCATCAGGGTCGGGATCGAACCCACGACCTCATGTATACCAGGCGAGGAAGTTAACATCTCGCCACCACGGCGCCCTTAACGTCAAGGGCCAGCAACGGCATGTGGCCTCGTGAAAACTAAAACAATTCGGTGCTCTCCGTGCCATCTTTGCACGTGATTTAGACGTGTCCGCTTCAAGGAAATCCATAACTAAACGTCTTTGAATGGGGAAAAAATGCCTTGAGTAGCATTCAGTGCATTAACACGTAGTGGGAATCAGATATTCGCCCTGGTAAAGTAACCATAGGTGGTACTGTACCGTATAGAAACGTGGTTTCCCACACTAACATGGGAATGAATACGCACCTATGTACAGCTGTGAAGCCAGTGGGTGGTTCGAAGTTCCTCATTCCTATGGCAGGGTCAAACAAGCTAGTTGGTAATATAAGAATAGGTTTTACCCTTTCTGGCAATAAAACAGGAGGTGTTAAGATGTTAAAACACCAAAGAGAAACATTTTGCAAGGAATCCTGTCAGCATTAACCGCATATACTTGTGGTGAACATGCAATAAAGATAAACATGCTCTGGTAGTATATGATGATGCATTGTCTTTGAAACTGATTGCTCCACACCAGAGACAGATTTTTTTAGTGTTAAAACAGAACAACGCCAAAAGGCGAACAGCACAAAGACAACGCCACTATCAGGGCATTGAGAGCTCGGAGTGAGCAGCTACAGCATGGGACCTCCCTTGCCACTATCCAAATATAAGAATAGGTTTTTACCCTTTCTGGCCATAATAAAACAGTTGTGTTAATATCTTATAACACCAAACTGAAACCTTTTGCAAGGAATCATGTCTGCATTAACCACATATACTTGTGGTGAACATGCAAACAAAAAAAACATGCTCTGGTATTAGTTTGTAATGCTGCATTGGCAATGGCGCACAAGTACCATGACTCAGAACTCAACACATTCATCAATGTAACACTGGCTGTAGATCTAGTACTGTAAAAGGTGACGTTTCAGGTCATGGCCCTTCATAGCACACGAGAGGACAGAGATATCATGGCGGAGGATTTGGAGACTGCACTTAACACCAATTGGGGCCTGATAAGAATACAATAAAAAGCATTTCTCGTAACCAATTTTAAATGGGCATATGAATAGTTCCCACTCATAGTCGCTATTGAGTAATAGACAGGACCCTCCGGCAAGGGGTGGGTTTATCGCTCGGGACAGCCACTGCTGTATTCATCTCTACGCCAGTGGTGGCCAGGAACAGGTCTGGTCTTGTAACCACCGCCTGTTTGCTTCCAAAATACAGCAGTGGTAGTCATTTTGTGGACCGAGCGAGAAATTGAGGAGCTTGTGTGGGGCTGTCCGTCAACCCGTGAGTTTGGACTCAAAACTCTCCGAGCGCGAGTGATGCCTTCCAAACACTAGGCATGTGACTGTTCACAAATCACACATTATTATTTGTTTTTAAGTGCATGTGAAAATTATGCACGAATGATATATGCTCGTGCAAAATGTAAGGGCAGGGAGTGATTATGGATACAAATTAGATGGCGAACACAAATGTAGGAGGATTTTTTTTCTTTAGCTGCCGCTACTGGACATCTGTGAAAAAGAGCTTCATAGCTCATCGGATTCCTCCCGCAGTATAAATAAAAGATTCTGATGATATGATTCTCAATTAAGTGTTGAATCGAATTTCGGCCATGAGACGTGGCAATTCATCCATTCCTCCATTCCCTCCGGAGTCAGATGACACGACTCACGCCCTTGTTCATGACGTGTAAAGAAATTGGAGCCCTTCGTAAATCCACAGCTGGATGACGCCGTCTCCACGCATTGTCGGTTGCTACTTCGGCACACTTGGACGATCCTGTGCATCACTCGCCACTGGTTAGTGTCAGCCACAGCCGAGGATGGCACTCGGTAACTATTGGCACGAGCGTCGAACATTAGCTTGCGTGTACACGCGGTAAGTGGATTATTACACCAAAATACCGTCACAGAAGGCAGAAGCTTTCATTCAGCAGTGGAGCGATCATGGCTGATGATGATAGTTGCCCAAAGACACTGCTCGTGGAGAGAGAGGCCTCTATGAGGGATAAAGCACAATATAGCCCCCGACAGAGGGCCAAAAGCCACCTCTGTAGGGGGATTTATACTGGTAGGAACGAAGTTGTAAACTGAGTGTACCAGCCTGCAATAGATTAATGTGTCCGGCCGTCGCCTTTCAATACTTTAACGAAGTGAAAAATTCCAATGTTCCTACCAGCCCACACTGCAGGGACCTGTTTGTGGGCCCCATCTATCGGGGGCTGGCCAGACGCCTGGGAAGTGCCCACACGTTACCCGACGATAACGCAACCGACCGATTGACTCAGCTGGTGTACTCGCACAACAACGGAATTAACCACCAGCGAGCAACTGGGTGGGAGAGAAGGGTTCTGTCTTTCAAAGCTTTTTTATTTTACAAAAAAGCGAAATGGGGAACATTGGTTCCAAAAATTGCACCGTTGACCGAGCAAAATCGCCGGGCGGTGCTATGAGTGTTGTTTTCGGGTGTCAGCACGGCTGATCTCACTATACGATCCTTGATCAGCGGCTCCCCCCAAGACAAGGACGGTTGAAGTTAAACCGCGATGGCTCGGGCGCTTTACGTGGCGACGCTGTACACGAACGCTATGGGGACTCGGATTTAATTAGTAAAAAAAGTGAGTTTTTTTTATTCAGAGTTATTGTACAACGTTATTATTACAATAGTGGCGTCGTTTTTTTGGCGGTGGTGTTTGCCGTTTGTGAAGTATTGCAGCGTAAATGTGTTAAGTTTAGTTGTACCCGTGATGCACCGCGGTGCGTTGCGGTGCGTTGGGCGCCCCACGTGGTAGGCTGCTTGGGCGTACGCGATTTGAAAGCTGTGGCTTTTGTGTAAGCGTAATGCCAATTCTTATTTTCCGCCTATGAATAAAATATAACGCTCCTATTCTTTGGGGCATGCTGCGTCGGCAGTTGTGCGCAAATATAATAAAATGGTAGTTTTTATATATATATTTTTAATTCTCGGTAATCGTTAATGCAGCCTTGAAAGCAAAAATGGTTTTCTTCCTCATTTTTGAAAGAAAGAAAAAATACATTTTGTTTTCCCAAATGTGTTAATGTTCTTGAGTTTATCTGTTATCGAGCAAATGCGTTCTCTCCCATCAACCGACCGACCGACTTTCCATCGTAGCAAACAGCATTTGTGTATTAAGCAAGGAATCCCGATATGTTTCTAGCTTTGTTTGCGTAGCCTCGTTATTGCCTCCCGCTGTCAGGCCGGGAGCCTGACGGAATTTTTTTTACAAATCGTTAACAATCTTTAACAGTCCACTCGCAAGCAAGCATTTGATTGCAGTAGACTAACAGATGAATATACATACATATGCATCGTTCGATGTATACCGTCAAGATGAATGTGTTCTTCCCCCGCACCTACGATTAGCACGGTTGGCTACGTACTGTGCGAAAGAAGTTCAACGTGCATACAGCGTCCGCCATTCGCCACTAAGTGGCGGTGACGTCACCACGGCGCTTTGTGCCAGGCTACGTGCACGTTAAGGCCACGTGAAACTGGCAGGTCACGGGACGGACCCAGGCGTTATGGGTCGACTGATTTGAGATGATTTGAGATGACCGGCCGATGCAGCACCTGGGTCCCGTACTGTGCCAACTTGCTGCGTTTTATCCGCCGGGCGCTCCGTTCGTTGTTGTGAGAGCGTCGCTCCTCTTGCCCTCCGTTGTTGCTGGAGGGCGACTGCCTCCAACTCCCTATACGGTACAAGACTGTGCGTGCGTTCATTGATCGGATTCTCCCTCTGTTGGAAGTCTGCGGTACTACATGCCCACCTTCCTCATCGATTCATCCCAATTTAAATGTTGAGTTCATTGTTATATTTATGGGACCTTTTTTTTTGCCAGAATCAAGATGATAAAAAAACGGCTTTTGCCTTTCTGCCAATAATACAGGAGGTCCATATTCTTAGTTTTTTCGGTAAAGTCACGTTGAAGAGAAACAACAAAATAACAAAATATATAAAACAATAAAAAATTCTCACGACGCTTCGACCATAACTCAAACGGTCATCATCAGGTGTGTCGGTTTGCATAAATTTATTTTTAAAACGGTACATTTATTTATTTATAAAAAACGTTGGCGTCACGCGCAGCGATTGGCAGTTTGCCCAGGACTAGTCCATCTATTTTTTTTGAAAAGAGGAGGGGGGAGACGAAATTTTTTATAATGTATGCTGTCTGAAAGCCACTGTAAGCGTGAACAATCAATCAAGAACTGAAATGATTTATCAAATCTTTCCAATGATTGCTAAGATAGAATCCATCTTCTCGGTTGAAATTGTCTCGTGCTTGTATATGTGGATAGCCTCATGAACGAATCTCTCATGGAAGCCAGATGGCTTACAAAGAACCTCCGTCTTGGAAAAGTCAATGGCATGTGAGCCTACTGAATTAGAACAATGATCTGCTACGGCCGAGGTGTTGGTCCTACCGTGTTTAATGTCTGCTTTATGTTCACGAATGCGGTCCGAGACATGGCGTTTGGTTTCTCCAATGTAACTACTACCACAGAGGCAACTTAGTTTGTAGACACCAGGGTATTGTATGTCCGGAATCACATCTTTTACAGACGGAACCAGATCACGGATTTTATGTAATGTGTTGAAACGGACCTGGATCTTGTGTTTATTCAAGATTTTGGAGATCTTTTTTGTGATCCCAGCAATGTAGGGTAAAGTGATGGTTTTGAAAGGCTCCTCAAGAGGGTTCTTCTTCATGGTTTGAGTGATAGCTTTGCGGATTGTATAGTCGGAGTAACCATTAGCCCTAAGAGCTTGGTGTACGTGCTTGAGTTCACTGCTTATGTGTTCCTGGTCGGATATGCATTGGGCTCTATGATACAGAGTCTTGATGAGAGAATTCTTCTGTGATGGATGGTGGTGGGAATCCGGTTTCAGATAAGCATCCGTATGGGTAGCTTTCCTGTAGACAGAGTGGCTCATTGAACCATCAGGTCTCTTTTTAATTAGGACATCCAAAAAAGGTATCTTGCCATCTATTTCGACTTCCATGGTAAATCTGATGGCTGGGTGTATGGAATTGATGTGGTCGAAGAATTGGTCTAGAGCAGGCCGGCCATGTGGCCAGATGACAAAAGTGTCATCCACGTACCTCTTCCATAAGGTTGGGCGCAGAGTGGCAGTCTGGATGGCGTCAGTCTCAAATTTCTCCATGAAAATGTTAGCTATAACTGGAGAAAGGGGGGAGCCCATTGGGGTGCCCTCAGTTTGTTTGTAGAAAGTTCCATTCCAAGTGAAGTATGTATTGGTTAAACAGTGTCTCACCAGGGGGGGTACCTCAGTGTTTAGTCCTTGATGAACCAAGTCTTCAATTATTGCAATGGTGTCAGGTACAGGAACCTTGGTGAATAAGGAAACTACATCAAAACTGACAAGCAGGTCGTCTGGGGACAGGGAAATACCCTTGATTGTTGATACCAGGTGAGTAGAATTTTGTACCGCAGAGGTGGTCTTTCCAGTGAAAGGAAGCAGGATTTCAGACAAAAAACGAGCTAGTTTGTAGGTGGGGGAGCTGATAGTAGAGACTATGGGACGAAGAGGTGTATCAACTTTATGTATTTTTGGTAAGCCGTATAATCTTGGTGGCCTGGCAGCAGAAGGTTTCAACGAAAACTGTTTAGATTGATCAATTAATGTGGTTGAATCAGAAATTATTTTGTTGGTTTGTGTGACGAGGCTGTTGGTGGGATCTCTTTTTATTTTTGTATAACTACCATCGTCGAGTAATTCTTTAATTTTGTTGTTGTATTCTATTTTATCCATGATGACAGTAGCATTGCCTTTGTCAGCTGAGAGAACTACAATATCATTCCTCTTTTTTAATTTATATAATTCAAAACGCTCATCTTTGCTGAGGTTGCTAGCTGGCATCTTAGCATTTTTGAGGGTTGCAGCGATTTTTTGATCTTGCTACGTCTGCAGCGATGCGACCCAGGCCCCTGAGAGCAACGTCTACTTGGGCAATTATATCATTAACTGGTATGTGTTTAGGTGTGACTGCAAAGTTTAGACCTTTAGCTAAAACGGATTTCAGACCATCGGAAATAGAACTGTTACTGCGATTAATTACGACTTTATTAACGTCTAACTTTTTGGTGTGTGGGTCCGGTCTTTTGTTGAAGAGGAGGTTAAATTTGGAAATCAGGTTTTCCTTACATTTGGTCGACATTGAATAAACACAAGATCCAGGTCCGTTTCAACACATTACATAAAATCCGTGATCTGGTTCCGTCTGTAAAAGATGTGATTCCGGACATACAATACCCTGGTGTCTACAAACTAAGTTGCCTCTGTGGTAGTAGTTACATTGGAGAAACCAAACGCCATGTCTCGGACCGCATTCGTGAACATAAAGCAGACATTAAACACGGTAGGACCAACACCTCGGCCGTAGCAGATCATTGTTCTAATTCAGTAGGCTCACATGCCATTGACTTTTCCAAGACGGAGGTTCTTTGTAAGCCATCTGGCTTCCATGAGAGATTCGTTCATGAGGCTATCCACATATACAAGCACAGAGACAATTTCAACCGAGAAGATGGATTCTATCTTAGCAATCATTGGAAAGATTTGATAAATCATTTCAGTTCTTGATTGATTGTTCACGCTTACAGTGGCTTTCAGACAGCATACATTATAAAAAATTTCGTCTCCCCCCCTCCTCTTTTCAAAAAAAATAGATGGACTAGTCCTGGGCAAACTGCCAATCGCTGCGCGTGACGCCAACGTTTTTTATAAATAAATAAATGTACCGTTTTAAAAATAAATTTATGCAAACCGACACACCTGATGATGACCGTTTGAGTTATGGTCGAAACGTCGTGATAATTTTTAATTGTTTTATATATTTTGTTATTTTGTTGTTTCTCTTCAACGTGACTTTACCGAAAAAACTAAGAATATGAATTACTGCAGTCACGAAAGCTTTAAATCAAAATACAGGAGGTGTTAAGATGTTCAAACACAATGACAAGGCATCAATTTACTTGTGGTAAAACATGCACACAAATATGCTTCGGTAATATATATGCATTGTCCTTGAAACCGATTGGCCTACATTCCCGATGAAGTCTCGTTTGCGAAGGATATTTTAGTTTTGTTGGAGCAAACAAATTGTCAATTGTGGAGTGCTTTGATGTTGTCTGCTGGCTAAGAAATGAGTTTTCAATCGAGATTTTTTAAGTGCCTTGCTCCATTGGCTTCCTAATATCGCAAGGAAGGATTTTGAACTGAGTGGGTTGCTCAGGTCAGTGGGACACCACTGGGCCTATTTTTACTTTTGGGACGGCATGATCATGTCCTGCTTACAGTCCGGAGGCAGCGGTGTAGAATTCCACACTCATGTGGTTGGTCCATTGAACAAACTCTGGTCGTTTCCCACAATACGGGAGAGTCTTGTTTTTATTGTATTTCATATTCTTAGCTCTTTCGGTAAAGTCACGTTGAAGGAAAACAATAAAAATAATAAAATATATATAAAACAATAAAAATTCTCACGACGTTTCGACCATAACGCAAACGGTCATCATCAGGTGTGAAAAACCAACGGCAAGAAACATTTGAAAGAAGTGGCGGTGATGAGCATTTGCGTTATGGTCGAAACGTCGTGATAATTTGTATTGTTTTATATATATTATTATTTAATTGTTTCCCTTCAACGTGACTTTACCGAAAGAGCTAAGAATATGAATTACTGCAGTCACGAAAGCTTTAAATAAAAATGTATTGTATTTCTTATGTACGTATTAATGTTGAACTTCTTTTGCACCGTGCTTAGCCAACCGTGCTAATCGGAGGCGTGGGGAAGGACAACAAACTAAACACAAAAATACCCTGGGGGAATGAAGGGTTGAGTCAACCCTTGATTAGGACTCGAACCCAAAATTTTTACACACACATTGGCATCTTTAGGGTCCGGTGACCTAGGTGTGGTGGCTATGCGCAGCGATGATGCAACGCTTAGGAGTCAAGGGTTGTGGTGAAGCACAGGAATTTGAGACACTCCTACAAAACCAGCTTGGCTGTCAGGTGGTGACTGTGAGATTATGGTACAGAAGGTGGTTCATGAACCCATATCTGTGAATCTCTGCATGATATATTCTTATAACATTTAACATTCTCCAGTGCGCGAGTGTGGTCATCCGGAACAGCCCGTGCAATATATAATGACGCAATGCCCGATCCACAAATACGAAAGAGACGTCACAGTGATGATAATACACTACTTCCCTGATGCGGTTATCTGGGCTTGACCACGTGAATTTGAAATTGTTGTTGTTGCTCTGCATCATCATCAGCAGCAGCCATACGAAAGAAGAAGGCTATGTATGATAGGGTCCTCCAGAATCCTCGCAACCCACAGAACACCTTTTTAAAAGTGGTAAACTTAGTCGGCCCAAGCATCTTATGCAGTGCAGGACCCATTCTGAACAACAGGCCTGAGACTCGGCAAGGCTTTCCTGGACCGTCGAGGAAAAATATAGTTGCAAGTGTATCTTCCTCCCTTCCCCTTCCCCCCCTGTGCATTCTGAACCAAGGTAATATAATTATTTGGCACTGCGTCATCATCATGGAACCTCCTTTGCCAGTACCAGCTTTCTCTGGTGTGGACCAAACAGTTTCAAAGGCATTGCATCATATTATCAGAGTGTTTTTTTCTTTGCATTTTGACTACAAGTATTGTGGTTGATGCAGACATTGATTCCTTGTAAAAAGGTTTCAGTTTGGTGTTTTAACATCTCACAACACAGCTGTTTTGTTGCCAGAATCGACGACAGCAACAAACTCGGAACACATTCGCCGATAATACTTTGGCCTTAAAAGGGAAAAAGGGACCATATATGAGAAAGTAACGTTTTGGGTAATGGCTCCTTCATCATAGCAACGTAAATCACGACCTACTCAATAACTTTAAAGCACTGTGTGGGAATTTTTCAGGATTTTTTTGTTTGTGATTATGAAGACTTTTTTCAAGGGAGTCCTGAGCAAGTATTCACGGGAGAGGGGGGGGGGGGGTGATGTTACTGGATATAATCCAAATTTAGTAATTTTTTTAGGTGAGTTTTCAGCGTTGGGATGATGTTTTGGCCCATACCAGTTACATTGTGTGGCTTTTTTTTATCTGCTGCCTGTGGGAAGTAACCAAAAATCCCGGAGAGAACCTACGCCGGAAAGGGTAGACAATATACAAACTACACACAGAAAGGTGCCCGAGTTGGAAATGGAACCCGGGAACGTCTTGCCTTGATGCGCCAGTGTCGCCACCCTGCCACCACCCCGCCACCCTACATCCTCATCGGCGCTGTAATGAACCTCTTGTGCTGACGTGGATGTCAGTGCTTCGTGCAGACAGATCCTTGGCGGGAGGCTTCGGCTAGCGCTAATGGGCCGAGAGAGAATCCTGCGATAATGATGCTTTGTGTGTGCTTGTCTCAGTTGGTGGTGCAGAGATATTTTTTTCCTCTCTGTCCCATTATGTTTTGTTGTATGTGTGGAAAAAAACACAACCCTCACTGCTTTTGTTTGACAGGTTTGTCTTCTGGGAATGGACGTCCTGGCTGTGTTGGCAGAGCGCTTACAAGAGAAGTTCAAAAACCATCTCAAATCGAGTGAGTTTTTATGGAGCATGTACACATTAGTCTTGTAGCCTATGGTACGCGCGGCGTGAAAATTATACATTCCAGGTTTAAATTTGTGAGCCACGTGACCATAGCTTCTGGAGTAGCGCGACTAAATGTTGCCCAGCCCGCCGGAGAGCAGGCTAGGCATCAGGAAGGTAAGGTAAAAGGTAAAAACAACGAGCCTACCTTTACCCTACCTTTTACCTTACCACAATACAATCACTCTACCCTACCTTTTACTCTTCAGCAGGTAAGGTAAAAGGTTAAAAGCAACGAGCCTACCTTTGCCCTACCTTTTACCCTTACCCCATACAAATTACCCGATTACAGGGTAATTACTGGGGTACTACACATGAAAAAGGTTTATAGCAGGTAAATTCTAGGTAGAGTGCTTTATTAATATAGAATACTCTCGATTATTCCAATTTTACATGCTTTCTTTAAACTCTGTTGTTGTTGTCGTATCCTCGAATCTTGCAACTCAATTGTAACCCACTTCCCAATGTGGTTTCGACTGCAAACTTGGTATACTTATGTCATACTGATAACAATACTATATTCTATCATTAAAAATAAAATAAAAATATTTTTAAACATTTTTTATGTTATGTTTCGGCTTGGGTCTAATTGTCCACTGTCAACTGACGTTGGCTGTAATTGGCCACGGCCCCTTACGTTGTGGCAAGCATCGGGGCCAGTTCCTGGAGTCGTGGAGTTCTGCTATTACTCGTAGATTTCATAACAGCGTGTTTTTAAAAAAAGTTTTTGAAAATATTACTTATTAAATGGAGGCCACGGAGTGCGCCACGGAGCTTTTAGCGGTAAACAAGGCACCGTATTTACCGGGTAATACTTCGCGCTACCTTTACCCTACCGGGTAATTCTTCCGAGCTTCCTTTACCCTACCCTTTACCTTACCCCTTGGCGTGTCGACACCCTTACCTTTGCCCCTTTTACCCGGTAAAAAAGGTAAATTACCTTACCTTGCCGAGGCCTAGAGCGGGCGTAGAACTTAGTTGTTGGCGACGTTGGTGGACCATTGCGTGGTTCGGGTGGCCGCAGTCCCTGCACCGTGGGGTCATCTTTCGCGTCCCGCGTGTTTAAGAAGAGGTAGCGAGCAGCGGCAGCAGCGGCAGCAGCGGCAGGCGGCGAGCGGTCGCCGTTGTGAAGCGGTTGATGATGAAGCCGCCACAGTTTCCTTGGCATAACGGAGCCGTGCGGGGCTGTGGTGTGGTGCCCACAATGAGGCTTTGACTCAGAACCTCAGAACTCCACAGCGTTCGCCGGAGGTCTTCAGTGGGTGCAGCCTATGTACGACCCAATACGAGCCCTGGAGCCTGGAGAGTGTTTGGAGGGGCGACCGCCACTCGTCTCTCTCCATATATACACGTACATAATTTGCATGTGTATGTCTGTCCGACCATCCATCCATTTGTCACGCTCTGGATATCCCAGCGGTACCTGGCAGGAACACGCGCGCAAAATACCGAAACGTAATTCCCTCGCCGAGGACATTCCCGGGGAAATTGTTTCAATAGTTCCGTGAGCATCCCATCGCCGCACGTCCTCTCGGCGTTTGAATTGTAGTGAGGCTAAAATTACCCCGCTGGTGCCTCCTAGGTGTGTATGTTAATTACCTTGGGTTTTCGCCGACGCTGAGGTGTACGGTTGTGTGTTTTGTCCTCGTGTGGCAGTCGTGCCCGTGCTGTTGGACCGGCTCGGAGACACCAAGGACCAGGTTCGAGACCAGACACAGACTCTTCTGCTCGCCTTGATGGAGCAATGCGCGCCCCCGCAGGTATTTCTTCTTTCTTAAAATGTTTTTTCTTTCACTTGTTCTTTGAAACTTTTCACCTTTGTTGACCTCTTGAGGGTGGAACGCAACTCGTATGCAATCGTGCGCGCGTGTGTGCGCGCGTGCATCTGTGTGTCTGTGCGTCTGTGTGTCTGTGCGTCTGTGTGTCTGTGCGCGCGAGTGTATGCGTGTGTGTTTGTGTGCGTGTGTTTTTTAAGTACAGTTCTTCAGTGGTCAGGATGAGACCACCCCCCCCCCCCCCCCCCCCCCTCATCGGCTAAATCTTGTTACACCAGATTGCATCTTTTGTCACTGAAAGGGATTCCGTGTATACGGATTTAGTCTTTTAGATTTGATTTATTTCAGCTGGAAGTGCCCAATCTGCTGTTAGTATATGCATGTATGTGTGTACAGTAAAACCTTGGATTGCGAGCATAATTCGTTCCGGAAACGTGTTTGTAATCCAAAGCACTCGTATATCAAAGCACTCGTATATCAGTTGCGATCACGTGACGCTCGGCAGAGAAAGCGTATATGTACTACTCGTATTGCAAGACCTCGCTCGTTTATCAAATTAATATTTATTTACAAATTTTGCTCGTCTTGCAAAACACTCGCAGACCAGGTTACTCGCAATCCAAGGTTTTACTTTATGTTGAACCTCTTTCTCGCCGTACGTAGCCAACCGTGCTATTCGAAGATACAGTTGGAAGGACGACAAACTGAACATAAAAAGCAGTTCTGAATAAATGAGCTTTCAATGTTGATTTAGGCCAGTATTTCATGGGCGTCCTGTGACGGTACAAATGTTACACAGTACGGATCATAGTTACAGTCATTGTTACGTAGGTAGCAATACAAACAGCAAGATATCGGGTGATAATGATGAGCTTGCTAATATTAATAACAACAACAACAATAATAATGTATACTCTTTGGTTCTAAAGTTTAACCTAGCTATTTCAATGAGCCATTTCAATGCTAAATTATATGCTAATTCCTTTGTCAAGGCTCGTGGTCTTTTTCTTCTCACACAGCTTAAAGATCATCATCTAAGCGTGGCTTCTTCCACTCCAGCGCTGTCCTCCAGACAGTCTCGTCCCTTCACCTGATGAAGGCCGCTTGTGTTGTGGCCAAAACGTCGTGATTTTTTGTTATTTTATTTTCACCTACGTGACTTTACCCAATAGAACCAAAGAGTATGGATCCTAGCAGTGACGAAAGCTTTAAATCTAGAAATAATAATGTATCACATTTGTTATTGGTGCCAGTCTCACGGCGCGGTGCCATCATGGAGGAAGGTGACGTTTTTTCGCGGGCGGTTGCAGCCCCCGCTGGGCGCGCTCAGCTGCGTGCGGTCCCAGTCCGAGTAACTCTTGGGTCGATTCTCCACCCGTTCCAGTTTGTTTGGGAGCGGCTGGTGCCGGGATTCAAGCACAAGAACAACCGCGTGCGGGAGGGCACCTGCCTGTGCCTCACCACCACCGTCAGCACGTATGTAGCCGCCCGCAGCCTCCCGCGCCCCCCCTGTCCCCTGTTCACGGGGGGGTTTTTGTAATTTGTTGAACGGTCTTCGGTTCTCTCTTCAATCTCGCCTGGTATATAGAAGGTCGTAGGTTCTATCCCGACTCTGACTCCTGCTGTATATTTGTAGTTTGCGTGTCTCTCTCTCCCTCATCATCATCACGGTGGCTAGGAGATGTTAACTACCTCGCCTGGTCTGCAGGAGATCATGTGTTCGATACCGACCCTGACGATGCCTGCTGCTGTTTGTTTGGAGTTTGCGTGTCTCTCTCATCATCACAATCACGGTGGCTAGGATATGTTAACTAGCTCGCCTGGTCTACAGGATGTCGTGGGTTCGATCTCGACCCTGACGCTTGCTGTACAAATTTCGATTTAAAGCTTTCGTGACTGCAATGATTCATCTTCTTTGGTTCTTTTGGTAAAGTCACGTAGAATGAGAATAAAATAATAAATTGATAAAATAAAATAACACAATAATATTCTCACGACGTTTCGGCCACAACACAAGCGGCCTTCATCAGGTGAAGGGACGAGACTGGTAGGACTCTCCAGCGCTGTCCTACCAGACAGTCTCGTCCCTTCACCTGATGAAGGCTGCTTGTGTTGTGGCCGAAACGTCGTGAGAATATTATTGTGTTATTTTATTTTATCAATTTATTATTTTATTCTCATTCTACGTGACTTTACCGAAAGAACCAAAGAAGCTTGCTGTACATTTGGGGTTTGCACGTTCTCCCTGTGGTCGCGTGAAATTTTCTCCGGGTCCTCCTGTTTTTCCCCTCCACATTTATAATTCACACTCATTTAGAGTATTTGGCCGCTATAAATTTGCCGTGATGATAAGCCACTTCGTTGAGCTATCATTTGTGATAGCCAGGTTGCTTCTGAAAAAGATCTATGTAGCTCAGTGGGCCTTACCTGGTAGAATAATAATAGTAAATAGTAGTTTATTTTTTTACTTTTGTGTTGCTCTACCATGAAGTAGCTTAACTCCTGCGGTGCCCGTATTTGCTTCAACACTTGTTGTCCATAATTGATTCGTTTGGGTCAGATCGCGTATGAGTAATATGCGTGTCACCTCCGATCAGCACGTTTGGCTAGGTACGGTGCCAAAGAAGTTCAACATACATGTACAGATACATACGTGTCCTAAACCCTCTTGCCAGCCGACGCAGCCAGTTAATAAAGTTGTAACGTGATGAACAAACGTGGACAATTTTGTAACTGCTTCAGCAGAACCTCCGGTGGTACTGTTGGAGAGCGAGCTCACAACGTTTTTAAGTGGTGTGTATGTTTCGCTGGTCGTTACAACCAGCAGGCATTTGCCACAATTGTAAAATTGTCCTCCGTTCTTGGGCCTTATTTCAGAATCGGAATCAGAATGTTTACTGCAGGAGGAATCTGATGAGCAATGAAGCTCTTTTTTTCACAGATATCCAAGTAGGGGCATGGGGGTCAGAAAGTCACAACAATAAACAATACAACAAAAACATGGTGAGAGTGCAAAGTATAGGAAAGGTAAGCAAATACCTAACAAAATAATAATTAAACTAAACTATTTTAGATTTTACCAGGGAAAGCTCACTGAGCTATGTAACTCTTTTTCGGAAGCGACCTGGCCACAAATGACAGCTCAACGAAGTGGCTTATCATCACGTGGGCATTTATCGCAGCCAAATAATCGAAATATATTCTGCGTTGGGCGGAGGAGGGTTTACGACGCACATTTTTATTCACGCGATTTGACCCAATAAAGCAATTACGAATCATATTCTTGGTTCTTTCGGTAAAGTCACGTAGAAGGGAAACAAATATATTATTTTATTGTTTCCCTTCTACGTGACTTTACCAAAAGAACCAAGAATATAAATCCCTGCAGTCACAAAAGCTTTCAATCAAAATTCAATTACGAATCGTAATATCTTGTTGCTTCCCGGGAGCGAAATAAATACTCGGACAAACAGTACCGCCGCCTTCCCATGTTTGTCTGTCCAACGTAATATTTGTAACATTTTTAATTTTCATTACGTATCCCCACGGGCCACACCGCGTTCTGGGAGGGCATTTTGACAGCAGCATAATTTTGGTTTACAACAGGCAAACCCTGGGACAAGTTTCAACAATCAGTGTCTCATCCAGCACCTCCCTGAAGACCGTGTGGCTTGATGGGATGTGTGGAAAAAAAAATGACCTCCACGTTTTTTTTGGGGAGAGAGGCGCCCTCGCCGCTTATTTGTTTCGTTACTTAACATTCTTGACGGGGACGCTCGTGATGATTCTGTTTTATTTTTTTCTTCAGGTTTGGGGCCAAGTGCCTGACCCTCAGCAAAATGGTCCCCTTCCTGTGTAGCCTCTTGGAGGACGCCAATGGCCAGGTAATCCCTCCTTCTGGGGGTTTAAAATCAAACTCATCACCGATCGTCTTCATCATCGGCGGCAGCAGCCACGATCAGTCGACTCCCGGACGACGGCCTCTTCAAGCCGCAGCCTTCTGTGACATGTTCCTCCCCCAGCGCTGCCTCCCTCCTCTCTACGCCGAGGACTGGGACCCTCGCTGCCTGGGGCTCTGCTCTGTGTGCGGCAGCCCCCGCCATCGGCAGTAGTAACAGCAGCAGCAGCGTTCACTCTACACTGACATTTAAGAGACACTTAACCCTTTCCTCCGATAACGTATGTGTACGTTATTTATCAGTTATTCTTCTGATTCCGTTCCGATGACGTTTAAGTGTACGTTATCATTTTTGCTGCTAATTCCATTCCGATGACGTACATGTACGTTATTTATCAGTTATTCTTCGGATTCCGTTCCGATGACGTATGTGTACGTTATCAGTTATTCCTTTGATTCCGTTCCAATGACGTGCAAGTCTACGTTATCAATTATTCTTCTGATTCCGTTCGGCCATGCGGGGAGGGTGTGTGGCACAGTTTGGCACCAGCTATCATAGAGTGCGGTCATGTCGCTACAGTTCTCTGCAGTGAGTACAATGTCTTTAAAAACAGTGGTGCTACCACGCCTCTCTAAATAAAATTAACGCTGTGCCGCTTGACCCTTTCTGAGATTCAGCGGCCAACGGGACCCCCCCCACCCTGCCAACTTGCAGATGTCTCGGAAACGGGAAAGGGTCAAAGGCCCCATCCTCTCTAACCTGGCATTCAAACGACCACCAAGCTTGGCTGGGCACCTCAGATTCAACGGTCATCTCCATCCGTGAAATATTGTGCGCGTAACAAATAGCATTTTTTTTACAAGTTTATTGTATGCACGTATGTTGAATTTATTTCGCACTGTACATAGCCAACCGTGATAATTTGAGGTGCGGGGGGAGTATAACAAATTAAACACAAAAAGCAGCTCGAAAGAAGTTAGTTTTCAGTCAAGATTTAAAAGTGCATAGCTCCAGTGGCTTCCTAATATCGGAAGGAAGAGTGTTCCAGACGGCCGCGGAAGCGCATCTGAAAGCGCGCGATGCGGTGACCGTCTTTGATTGATGGTTAGCCAAAAGCTGCAGCTGTGAGGATGACCAGAGATCAGCGAGGTATTGCGGTTCATTTGTTGCAAACACTTTGCGTGTGTGTGTGTGTGTAACGAGTGCCAGCTTACAAAATATTCGTTCGCATCAACTTATTTCATCGCTGCCGTCTCTGCGGTGTAACGTGCGACCTCCTGGGAGTGTTCCCCTCCTCCCGTCTGTCGCCGCGGGCAGCTGGCCGCGCTGCCATTGGTCAAGACACTTAACAGCGGCCACCACCGGCAGATTTCGCTCCTGGAGCTGCGTGAGCGTGGCTCCCACGTGGACTGACGAGGCGCGCAAATTATTTTCTTCCCCAGTCTGGGTGTCGGTGGACACAGTGGAGGGTTCACGTCGCTCAGCCAGTCTCTGCTTTCGTAATCCGATGGGAAGTCGCACCCATTCGATCTCCCCCCCCACCCCCATCACGCAGCGTGATGGGGGTGGCTGATTAGTGGTTTATACCACTAATCAGCAAGGAAGTGGCACCTGAAATGCCTGCGCCTGCTGGGTGTGGTCGCGTAGATACGCTCGGGTTGTTGTTGCGCGAGTACGATGTCCGACATTCCGCGGCAAGGCTCTTGCCGGGGGACGGCTTCTTCGGCGGCTGAACTCCTCAGGTTCGGCGCGCGACAGAAGCGAAAACGTTGGGCGTCGTCGCGAGCTACGCACGGTGCAACCGGGGAGAGCCGTATGGCACAACCGGGGAGAGCCGTATGGCACAACCGGGGAGAGCCGTATGGCACAACCGGGGAGAGCCGTATGGCACAACCGGGGAGAGCCGTATGGCACAACCGCGAAAATCTGCACCGTCGTTATTCATCCACGCCGGTTTAAGTAATTTACGAAGACCAGCAACGCGCTAAAAATGTAGATTTTTTCTTTTTCAACGGTAGAGTGAGTGACCAACGTTTCGGCAGCAGAACATGTTTACGAGAACGTCTTATTTACTTGTGCAAAAATGGAACAATGTTAAAAAAAAGAAAACCTTACAGAAATGTAACTGTTGAAGTTGATGTCATGCAACCAGGCGAGAAGTGAATGAGGCCAGGCTTAGGGATCTCATTTGCGAGGGTGACCCGGCTCACAAAGATGACATTTTTTATATTCTTAGTTCTTTCGGTAAAGTCACGTTGAAGGGAAACAACAAAATAATAAAATATATATAAAACAATAAAAATTCTCACGACGTTTCGACCAGACGACCGTTTGTGTTATGGTCGAAACGTCGTCAGAATTTTTATTGTTTTATATATATTTTATTATTTTGTTGTTTCCCTTCAACGTGACTTTACTGAAAGAACTAAGCATATGAATTACTGCAGTCACGAAAGCTTTAAATCAAAAGATGACATTGTAACCAGGAAACACCTGCAAGTTTTTGCACACGTGCGAATGCATCTTCCCCTTTCGGTTTCTGGTCATTACACAAACAACAACAACAACAACAACAAAAAAACAACCCTAAGAGGACTGTTTTAAAATATCAAACGGATTTTGCCCTTGTGACGGATTTTTTTTTTTCTCCTCCACCGTGTGCACGTGGATTTGTTTTTACCCTCCACCCTGTGCACGTGGATTTGTTTTTACCCTCCACCCTGTGCACGTGGATTTGTTTTTACCCTCCACCCTGTGCACGTGGATTTGTTTTTACCCAGGTGCGGGACGCAGCGTTGGGGAGTCTGGTGGAGATTTACCGGCACGTTGGCGAGAAAGTTCGCGCCGACCTGGCCAAGGGCAAGGGAATCCACCAGGCTCGGTACGCGTACACCCATCCCTCGCCCCGGGGCTTGCCGCCTCAACAGCGGCAATACAAATAATGAACATTCGTAAAGTGGCGCGTTTCATCCGTAGATCTCAATGTGCCACCCGTGTATGTAAGGCCAGGAAGTAAACAGAACCAGCTGGGTAAACGGGCAGAACTAGTAGGGGGGGTGGGGGGTAAAGGCGAGGTCGCCCACTCGCTCGCCCGCTCGCTCGCCCACTCGCTCGCCCACTCGCTCGCCCACTCGCTCGCCCACTCGCTCGCCCACTCGCTCGCCCACTCGCTCGCCCACTCGCTCGCCCACTCGCTCGCCCACTCGCTCAGAACCAGGATAAAACGTCTAGAAATAGTGTGGCGGGGTAAAGGACAGTTTATTTGCCCACTCGCTCGCCCACTCGCTCGCCCACTCGCTCAGAACCAGGATAAAACGTCTAGAAATAGTGTGGCAGGGGTAAAGGACAGTTTATTTGCCCACTCGCTCACCTACTAACTCGCTCGCCCACTCACTTGCCCACCCACTCGCCCGCCCACTTGCCCGCTCACTCGCCCGCCCACTCGCCCGCCCAATCACCCACCTCACTCAGTGGTCTACTCGCTCGCCCACTCACTCGCTCGCCCACTTGCTAAGAACCTCCAGGGTAAAATGGCTAGAACTAATGGTGGGTAGAGGCCAGTTTAAATAGGTGAGTTTTCAAGACAGGACTTAAATATATGTTACGATTCTGTGATAGTCTCATGTAGCGAAGGCAAAGCGTTGTTCCCAAGCTTGGGAGCTGCGCTGGCTAAAGCTCGATCACCCAAGGACATGGGTCTTGACCTCAGAGTACTTAGTAGAATGAGATCCGAAGATCTCAGGGGCCTTGGTGTATTAAGATAGATCAGTTGTTGCATGCTTTGTATAAACCATGCAGTACTGTTCAATGAACGCTCTGCTGCTCACCCAATCATACTCTCGCTCACTCACTCACCCACTCATTCGCTGACCCACCCACTCACTTACTCGCCCACCCATCCACTCGCTCATTCACCCACTCGCTCATCCACCCACTCGCTCACCCACCCACTCGATCACCCATCCACTTGCTCACCCACCCACTCGCTCACCCATCAACTTGCTCACCCACCCACTCGCTCACCCACCACTCACTCAGCCAAATTTGAAACTTGAATCCTTAGATCCCTTCAGTGGTTCTCGTTCGAATCACAGATTGAGCACTCTTTGCTCTGCCTTCATCAAGCCGATTAGTTTACACATTACTTTTCTCCATGGCTTCTTTGTGCCTAATGAATTCACACTCCTTTCCGGAGATCACCTTGGAGTTCTTGTACATCTTAACATTTTAGAGTGCAATTCACCTTCACCCATCCTCATTCAATTATTGTAACATTTAGCCTAGCTGGGGGGTTGGGGGTGGGGGGGGAGTTGGCCAAGAGATCGCAGTGCTTATAGTGGGTTCGTGAACCCATCTGTTAGCACATTTTGAGCGTTACCCCATCGTGTCAGCAGGGGTTTCTCCGTGCACTCCAGTATCCTTTCGCACATTAAAAGCACTGCTTAAACAGTGCACCGCATACAGGGCCCTGTTGAAAACGGGTATTGAGACTCGGCAAAGTTTTTCCTCGCGAAAAATTGATATAATTATATATATATATTTTTTGTGGATGCATCGTGAGGTGGTCACCCTTTGAAAGGTTTATTTTTAGAACCCTTTTCACGAAGAGCAGGACCGCGCGTGCGTGCGTGCGTGTGTGCGTGTGTTCGCTCCGAGCTCGTGTGCACTCTTTACGCGTGACCCACTTTTCCGTGCGCTAACGCGACGCGACGCACACAGCCCCCCCCCCCCCCCTCTCTCTCGCCCCCCTCTTCCAGCCACTTTGAACTCTCGACGCACGCTCGCTCTCGTTTCGTTTCCTGGAAAGCTCTCGCTCGCTCACTCGCTCGCTCGCTCGTTCTCTATCTACAGAGTTGCGCCAAGGAGACAGAGTCGTAGCTTGTGGTCGACGCCGGCGTTGTTGCCGTTGTGGCTGCACAACGTCTCGCCCGGCTGTCTTGGTTGTGGTCGGATTTGCTAAATATAGCGTCGTCATCCTTGGATAGGGCGAGCTAATTAATTATTAGCGTCTTCACCCCCCCCCTCACCCGGAAACGTGGCCCAATTAATTAATTATTAGTGTCGCGATCCCTGGATACGCGAGCTCATTAATTATTTATTAGTGTCATCATCCCTAGATACGGGAGCCAATTAATCATGAGTTGAATTTATTTGGTCTCCAGCACTGCATTTTTTTACCTGCTCATCACACCATGCAAAGAAAAGTTTCTGCCCTGCAATTGCTGGCTCACGCCACTGCTGGCGGAAGGGTTGTCCGCTGCAATAAGCCCTCGAGCCCCCCTCTGGCGGGTATTTGGCCTACTCTCCCACGGGGGCCGAACGTCTTGGAAGCGGTGGGAGTACCCACGCTTTAACCCCCATCGCTCGCAATCCTCCGATGGACAGCGACCGCGGTGTGGGTGTTATTTATTCCGCCCCCCGCATCACAGACCGAAAGTCTGCACCTCGGCGATGCATAATGAACCAAACAATCAAGCTGACCCAGCGGCGAACGGGCAGAGGGATGAAAATCCGTTATCATAAGGACAAATGCTACCACTACGGATAATGATCAGCGATTTATACTTCAGCTGCCTGCCTCACTGGTCACTCCGCGCTTCACTCGGCCTCAACGTGTACTCTCTGATATCGTCTTCAGGGGGCGGGGGGGGGGACACGGGACCTGGTTTTTAACGAAACGCCTCTGCTACGTCACGGCGTTGTACGCTCGATAAGAATTCGCAATTGGTAATTTTTTTATTTGGGTCAGATCGCGTTCAGTAAAATGTGCGGCGTACCCCACCCTCCTCCGCCCGCGCACAGCCGATCTCAAATAAAGTCACGTGATAAACAGACGCGCCGATTTGTCGCTGCCAGTGCGGGGCCTGTGTTGCTGGAGAGCGACCCGCACGCGTGAAACGATTGGGCCGGAGGACGAGACGGTGTACGACAACGCATTCTACTCGCGCGATCCGACGAATCGCACTGTTGGTCGCGAAAGTCCTTTGTGTGTTACATTTACACGACGAGAAACGTGCGGTCCCTCTGCAGGCTCAACTCCCTGTTCGCCAGATTCGATGAAGTTCAGAGCTCGGGAAGCATGATTGCTACAGCAGGTATGAGAGAGTTGGATGGCTCTACAGATGCACACTTACCCCCCACGCCCGCCGCAAAGAAGGGCTGGGTTCAATTCCCGACTGGACCCGAGCAGTCCGGTAAAGGCTACGCCGCGGGGACCTTTATCTTTGCCAGGCAAGAGCTTCGAGGACGACGATTCGGTGGACGGGAACCGCCCCTCCTCTGCCAGTTCCACCTCTTCCCGGACTCCGGCTCCTCGGCACGCCACCTCCTCTTCAGCGCGGGTTTCCAGCGCCGCCTTCAGCAAGACCCCTTCCGGTACGGGCGACGCGACCGGCCTCGACGCAGCTGCACACGGCGCGCTACCGCTCCTGGCCGCTCGCGTGAAGTCACGTCGGCCGTAGCGACGAGGCGCTGACGTAATCGCCCGCCGAAAGGCGCCACGGCGGCAGGATGTTAGCTACCTCGCCTGGTATACAGGAGGTCATGGGTTCTATCGCGACCCTGACGACACCTGTATATTTGGAGTTTGCGTGTCTCTCTCTCCACGTGGTCGGGTGGATTTTTATTCGGGTCCTCTGGTTTTTTTCCTTCTACGTTTTAGAATCGACATCACGCATTTAAAGTGTTTGATTGCTATAAATGTCCACACTATGAGCCCCTGCGTTGAGCTATCATTTGTGGCAGCCGGTGTCGCTTCTGAAAAAGAGTTGCATAGCTAAGTTGTGCCTTGCTTAGTAAAATAAAAAAATGGTTTTCGTTTCATTAAGCGGGGAGGATTTAAAGCGGGTGCCCGTGTCGGTCAACCGTTTGCAGCGGCTTCCAAAGAAGGAGCCGGCGCCGTGGACGAGGACGACTTCACGCGCGTGTTTGAAGAAGTCGCTCTGGTGCACGTGAGTCATCCGCGACATCCCGTGAACTTGACGCCTCTTTGCGGGGGGGGCTTGAACACCTCCCTGTATTAACGCCTCCTCTCTTTCATTATTGTTGTTGTTGCCAGGAAGAAGGATAAGAAGCCGTTTATATTTTTTTCACCATCTTGATCCTGGGAAAAAAAAGGGGCCCGTAGATATAGCTGCTTAACCCGAGCTATTAACGCATTGTCCTTGTACTGCTCGCCTTTTGGTGGCCTTGGCTCTCCAGCACCGGTGAGAGACAAAGCCATACAAGAGGCTGTCTCTGGCAGAAGCAAATCATTTTGTAGGACAATGCGTACATTATATAAGCACGTTTGGTTTGCGTGTTTTACCACAGGTATGTGTGGTTAATGCAGACTTGATGCCTTGTGACAGAGGTGTCTCTTTGGTGCTTGAACAACTTAACGCCTCCTGCGTTGTTGCCAGAAAGGGTAAAAGCCTTTTCCATTTCCATCGTGTACATTTGTTCGAGTACAAACGTAACCCTGTCGTGTGCGAAAGGAGCTCCCCACTCCAAATGTGTTTACGTTAGTTTGAATGCAATTTTATAAACGGTCGCCCAGAGTGGCGGCTCGTGTTGCTGTCGGCAGTCTTGTACATACATAGATACGGACGGACGCACGTATATACGTACATAATAGTACTCTAAGCAGTATCCTCATTGGTGGATACTGCCATGGCGGACACTGCCCATGGTGGACACTGCCCATGGTGGTGGACACTGTCCATGGTGGTGGACACTGCCCATGGTGGTGGACACTGCCCATGTTGGTGGACACTGCCCATGTTGGTGGACACTGCCCATGGTGGTGGACACTGCCCATGGTGGCGGACACTGTCCATAGTGGCGGACACAACCCATGGTGGACACTGCCCACGATGGTGGATACTACCCATACGTACGTACGTTGAGCTTCTTCCACGCCGTAAGTAGCCAACCGTGCTCATCGGTGGTTGCGGTCTTGCAGGTGCACTCCAGTCGGGAGCTGGAGGAGTCCATTAGCGGTGTCCGTGACGTGCTGTGCGACGACAAGAACGACTGGGAGCAGCGCGTCGCAGCGGTGAGAGTAGCCAGTGTTTGCGCCGCGAATCAGTGCCGCACCCACCCCGGGATTGTTCGCGACGATCGTCACACAGCCCGGATTTTTAATCCCCGTGCGGCAGGTCCGGATGGCATCGGCACGGCCGCTGATTGAGTCGGCCTTGGTTTAGGCGCGCTGTGTGTCCTGCGAGACGCAATGACACATCTGTCAACCCCTTATCAGTACCTTGTTACAGACCAATTCAGACCTCATTGGTCACCCCGTGCCCCTTATAAATCTCAACGTTCATCCTACAAAGTCCCACCACAAGGGAGAAACACAAACAAATAGACAAAAAAAATGTTGCCCCGTATTGAAACGGCCGTACGCCATATGGACTTGAAAAGTTAATTTTCCCGTACAAGAATACGGGGTTAAACTGTATGGGTTGGCATTCATGCAATCATTTGTTCTCTTTTTATTTTATTGCCGTTGTCTTGTGCAGCATTGTGAGATGCAGTTTTGCGTGAGTGACGCTGTATAATAATAAAAAAATATGATTTGTATTAATTGACCTGCAAATGACTCAGTTGTGAAGACAGGCGATAATCATCGCACCCCACTGTATGTATGGAAAATGTTGAACTTCTTTCGCACCGTACATAGCCAACCGTGCCAATCGGAGGTGCAGACTGTGCCTGAACCATCGCGCCTTTCGTGATGGTAGCCTTGCGTTATATGAACGGCGCGAACACCACTGCACCCACGGTCTCATTTCGCCGCACGATAAACGCCGCCAAGTTCTTTTCGGCCTTTTTATCCTGCCATGCGTGTAGCCAAGCGTACAATTGCACATCGGCTCAACTCGTGACTTCTTCAGGCTTCTGCCCAGCAAGCATTTATTTCATCCCTGTTCGTCGGCCATCCAATCATGCGGACCTTGGTTCTCCAATGTAGCCACGCCTAAGGATGGTAAAAAAATGTCAACATTTATCTGGGGCGTGCAAATCGCTGAAGCGGGGAGCAAGGTTGAACCTTAATGTACGCATGTTTTTTTTAAATCTATAAATTATTGATAAAGCACCTGTCTCTAAGAATATTCATTGTTTTTATACGGTAGTCTTTCTTGGAAGGGAGGCAGAATGATAATAGTACCATAAGCAGTATCCTCAATGGTGGACACTGCCCATGATGGTGGACACTACCCATGGTGGACACTATTCATGGTGGACACTGCCTATGATGGTGAATACTGCCATGGTGGACACTGCCCATGGTGAAACACTACCCATGGTGGACACTGCCATGGTAGACACTTCCTTTGATGGTGGACACCGCGTATGGTGGACACCGCCTATGGTGGACACTGCCACGGTGGACACTTTTTAACGGTGGACACTTGTAACAATTTCCAACATAGGTAGCTACTACGGCCCAGGTCTCCCCTTTCGGCCCATGTGCCAGCAGCCAGGCCCCTCTCTGTCCCGCGCGAGCGCCCCCCCCCCCCCTCGTGTGTTGTTCCGTGTCGTTTTGCGCGCAGCTGAAGAAGTTGCGGGGCTTGCTGCTGGCGGGAGCGGCAGAGCAGGACTCCTTCCCTGGCCACCTGCGCCTGCTGGAGCCGGCGTTCAAGCTGTCGGCCAAAGACCTGCGCTCGCAGGTGGTGCGGGAGGCCTGCATCACGCTTGGGTACGGCTCTATTCACGCACCCGCCCGCCCCGCCGTACGTTCATCCGTCTGTGCTGCCACCGTCGCCGCCTCCCCGTTTTTAGCCAGACGCAAAATCCCCCCCCCCCCACCCCCCCCCGCTTGCAATTTTTGGGTCACGTTGCGTTCGCCAGCGCCATTGTGGAGAGTATAACGACGACTCGAATGGTTATTTTGTGTCGCGCGACGTATAATTTTTTTGCGGCGAATTTGGATTCGCATCCTGAAGACAGAGAGGGTCCCTTCTTATAAACATCTGGCAGTTCGCCGGCACTGATCCAAGCCAGTCTGAGTCTGCTGATGAGACACTGATTTCGATTTAAAGCTTTCGTGACTGCAATGATTCATCTTCTTTGGTTCTTTCGGTAAAGTCACGTAGAATGAGAATAAAATAATAAATTGATAAAATAAAATAACACAATAAGACAGACAGTCTCGCCCCCTTCACCTGATGAAGGCCGCTTGTGTTGTGGCCGAAACGTCGTGAGAATATTATTGTGTTATTTTATTTTATCAATTTATTATTTTATTCTCATTCTACGTGACTTTACCGAAAGAACCAAAGAAGAGACACTGATTGTCGACGCCGGTTCGGAGTTTTGCTTGTGCCGATTCAATGCCGTGGGGTTGATAGGGTTGTGTAAAAAAAAAAAAGATTTCTTTTTGTTTCACGTGGAGAGACGGATATATGGAGGAGACAACGGAATTCGTGATTATTTTGCATCACGTGTTATATAATTTTGCATCGAACTAGGATTGTTATCCTAAAGAAAGAAGGTCCCTGCCTATAAACATCTAGAGTTTTTGCTTGTCCTGAATCAATGCTGCTGAATTTATGCACACCCAGAAGGCCACAGGGGCCGTTGGGTCATCTAATCGGATAAATCAAGGATATTTATTGTCGGCTTATCTATCTCCCCATTGTGTTCATTGTTTCGTATGATGCCGGCCACCTATGCCTAGCCTTCATAGGTGTTGCTCGCTAACAGCAATTGGCCCTACTGTCTGTTCAGGCTATACATGGGATATTTGTCTTTATATATGTATCCCGTTCATAATAAAGGTTTTTGGGTTAGATCGCGTTATTTATAAATGTGTCGTAACCCTCCACCACCCGACACAGCCAAACAGTAAAAAATGTGTCACGTTTACAAAGGACAAATAGTTGACTACTTCAGCCCCCCGGTGTGTAGAAGAGTGAATCAACATAATTTAAAATTTGAGTACGACATTTCGCTGGTAATTACATCCAGCATCATCGGGCAATTCGCCAGAATGGTAAAACACTCACTTGCTCCCGGTCTTCAATAGAGCAGCAGGGTGACGTCATCATTTAACTCATTCAGGTGCAGTGATTTGAGGCGGAGGGGGGGTATTATAATTATATAATCGATTGGTAATCAGTCAATGGTTATGATTAGTAATGAGTTGTAGATTAGTAATTAGTTGTAATGTGTGTTATTGTGATTATATGCTACGTTAGTAATCCGTTAATTCGTATGTGTTTCCCCTATAAGTAATTGTAGTATGTATTATTTAATAATACGCTTCCAAGCCGCACTAAGCCTGTAGCTGTCAGAGCGATTAAAGTTATTTCTATTTCTTTCAATTTCAATGGATTCTCTAATTAGTCTTTGCCAGTAATAATTAGTTTTACACAACACTTCAATGTTATCAAAATCAATTGAGTGTCCTTGTTGACAAGCATGTTCTGCCACTGCCGACAGTTGTGATTGAGATAATTTAATATTTCTTTGGTGTTCTTTTAGTCTTATGCTGATGTTACGTCCCATCTGTCCAATATAGCATCTGCCACATAAACAGTTAATCCGATATACACCTTCTGTTGATAATTTAGGTAATTTGTCTTTAGTGCAAGATACTAGGTTTTGAATTTTGTGTACTGTACCAAATCTTACTGTAATGTTTTGCTTCTGCAAAACACGGGCTAATTTGTCAGTTACTCCTGAGATATATGGAATGTTAATTGTTTTCAGCAGTGTTGCTTTGCAATCGTGATTTGGCATTCAGTGCTCTGTTAATTTGAGTATTATTGTAGCCATTCTGTCGTAATGCTTCTTTAACGTGTTTGATCTCTCTCACTAGACTTTCACTATCTGACACTGTTTTAGCCCGATGTATGAGCGTCTTGATAAGAGAGGATTTCTGAGCTGGATGATGATGTGCATCTGCATTCATATAGGCATCAGTGTGCGTTTGCTTTCTGTAAATGCTGTGTGTTATTTAACCGTTTAGGCCATGTTCAAGCAAAATATCTAGGAACGGGAGTGTGTTATTCACCTACATTTCCATGGTGAACTGGATGGTCGGGTTTTGTGCATTGAGATGATAGAGAAAATCATTAAGTGTATCTTTATCATGTGGCCAGACAACCAAAGTGTCATCCACATATCTAAACCAAAAAGATGGTTTTAATGTGCTCGAGGCAAGTGCTCTTATTTCAAAGTTTTCCATGTACAGATTTTCTATAGCAGGAGATAAAGGAGAGCCCATTGCTGCTCCTTCCTTTTGTTTAAATAAATCCCCTCTCCATAAGAAGTAAGTGTTATTTAAACAATGGTCAGCAAGTTTCGGAATATCTTTTGGTAAACCTGTATTCTTTACTAGTGTATCAAGTAATTTAAGAGATTCGTTCACTGGAACCTTAGTGAATAGAGAAATCACATCAAAACTTACCAGAATATCATTAGAATTAAGTTTAATATCTTTAATCACATTCACAAGATGTTCTGAATTTCTTATGAATGAAGATATCCTATCGATGTAGGGCTGTATTTGTTTAGTTATATATTTTGCTAATTTATATGTGGCAGAGCCAATTGTACTGACTATGGGTCGTAATGGGATGCAGATTTTATGATTCCTTGGTAGCCCATACAGTCTAGGTGGTTTTGAGGCCCTTGGCTTAATTTGGTATTGTTCATTCTTAGGGATTAATGAATTTGCAATTATTGCAGTAGTCTTACGTTCTAAAGTATTAGTTGGATCTCGTTTAATTTTAATGTAGGTACTTTCCTCTAGTAAATTTCTAATTTTGTTATCATAATCGGCTCGTGACATCACTACAGTAGTGCGGCCTTTTTCAGCTGCCAGGAT